GGGGGTGAAGTGGGCAGTGCCTTGTGGCCACCACAGCTGGGGCTGTGCCGGGTCACACCTGAAGCCAGCCCAGTCTCACCCAAAGCCTATGGTGACCACTACCCGGCTACCTCTGACGTTTATTCAGAGCCCGAGGGCTCTTTAGTCAGCAGGTGGCGCATCCTGCCAGCACTGCGTCCTTCTCTTCAGGGCAGCGTGTTTCCTTCTGGCCCAGGGTGGGTCCAGAGATGCCGGCCCAGAACCAAGGCCTGGACGCAGGGGCCTCAAAAGTCTGCTTGGTGCCCTGCGAGGGACGTTCTCCGGAGTGGGCAGCCCGGCTCTCGCGTGGGGGGGACAACCAGCCAGGACACAGGTGTTCTGAGAATATCCCGCCTCACGGTGGGTCCCGCACTGCCCTGGCCCTGGCCGCTCTGTCCTCAGAGACGTCGTGCTGTGGGGTGCATGTCACGGCCGCCTGGGGCCTTGGCGCGGGATCTGTGCCAGGCTGTGTCCAGGGGCGAGAACACACAGTGCCGGGGCTGGGAGGAACCGGAGGCCGAGAGCCCCGCCGAGGCCAGAGTCACCGGGCAGTGTGCTCCCAGCATGCCCCCAGCCGCCCCCTTCCTCTTGCTGGGCGGCTATAGGAGGCGGCGGGGAGCGACAGGTCTGACCCTTTCACACCTGCAGGCCTGGTTCCCATCACAGCCCAGGCGGGACAGGGAGCAGGGCTTGGGGGTGCCCGGCCCCTTGGTTTAGAGCAGGCAGGACGACCGCAGCTGCCGGGAACGGTTTCCTTGCCAAAGCCACAGTTGTACCCTGTGAGACCCAAACAAGCCAGTGGCGTGTATGTGTCACAGCAGCTGGTTGTCTCTTGTGGGGACGGTGGCCTCTCTGCCAAGACTTCGCCGTAGGAGGTGCGCACAGTAGGTGGGCGTGAGTGCCTGTGGCGTGTGCTCCCGGAAGACAGGCAGGGGACAGCTGGGTCAGGAGAGCAGTGGCTTCACCTTGGGGCTGAGCGTCCACCTGTCTCCTTCCCCAAGTTGCTTTTCGTGGCACCTCAGGCACTGGGAGGTTCGTGGGGACCTGTTGAGTCGGTGCCTGTGCCCGGCACCTTGGCTCGGGCCCCAGACGGAGCCCCTGCCCTAGTGCTGCTTCCAGGGGGGTCGCCAAGGGGACCAGGCCAAGGAGCCGCTGTCGGGGGTTGAGGGGACCAGGAGGTGGGGGGCCTGCCTGGCGGTGGAGAGAGCCGAGCTAGAGCCTGCGGCCTCCTTGGGGCAGCGGAGGGAGGGAGGTTTGAGGAGCGGGGTCGGCAGGCCCGCCCGTGAGGAGGAGGGCGGGAGAGGAGCCCCTCGCTCTGGGGCGACTTTGAATTCTAGCCCTAGGTGGTCTCTCCAGCCATTTGAAAAAGGAAACGCGAGATGTGCACGTCCGTTCAAAGCCCGTCTCTGCAGGCTTCGAGATAATGAAAAGTTAATTTTAAACATTCGGTATGTCTGTTTTGAATATTTGTGCATTTGGTGGGTTTGTTTTCCAGACATCAGGCTTAACATCTTAGTGACTGTTTTCCGAACAGTAAACACAAAACCGCGGAGCTGCTCTGGACGGCCGTCCAGCCTCAGGGGAGGCGGAAGGCGTCAGGTGTCGATGCCGCATCCGCAGCCTGAGTTTCTGTACCCAGAGGACGGCTCGGGTGGCTCTAGGCTGCCCAGCAGGACTCCGAGATACAATCGAGGTCAGGAGCGGACAGTGGACCAGGGGTGGGAGGGCCGGAGCTCTCTGCTTGCGGTTCTCGGTGTGGGGGAGGCCCAGGTGTGGCTGCAGGGGAAATGCAGAACAGGGAACGGCCAAGACTGGGCCCCCCGGAAGCAGGTGCGGGAACGGCCTCCTCCCTCGGCCCGTGTCTGAACTGGAGCGGCGCGGCCCCAGCTCTCCCTGCGTCCCCGCTGGCAGCCGGGCGAGCGAAGCCAGGCGAAGAGCTCGGCCAGCAGGGCCCTGGGCGCCAAGCCACGTCCCCAGCACAGAGGGTCAGTCCGGCGTGTCACATGCCTGAAGCTTTAGCACTCGGCTAAGTATAATCCTGCCGAGTCTCGTCAGTTACTGGGTGTGATTCTGCCCGGAGACGGGATGGGCTCGACTTACCCGGTGGGGGCGGCCGGCTGAGTGCTCACGTTTGGTGCGTAGAGTCCCTCCTTGGTGGGCGGGGCCTGTCTGCCCCCGTGGGGCACCACCAAGACGAGCTGCAACTTGGGGTGGGGACCCAGGAGCCCCAGGACGCAGCCAGGTGAGTCACAAAGTCCCGGCCACGGCTCCCCTTCCACCTTCTCTTCTGCTTTTGATTCCAGAGTCGGTTTGGAAGTCATGTCACCAAACACGGTAACTTCTTAACACCGTCTTTGCGTGTCCTCCCTTGGAAGGGTCCAGGTAGCTGGGAACACGTTTGACCTGCTGAAATGCTTAGTGCTGGGTGCTCGCGTCACAGACGCCTGGGGGGAGCTGGCTCCGAACCACCCCGCAGCCTGTGGCTCGGACCTTCTCCAGGAAACGGACCTTCTCCAGGAAACCTCTGCAGGTTTCCTCCTGCCGCCATGGCTTTTCGGGAAACGCTCTGTGGGCGTGTTGACACCTGTGTTCAAAGCCTGTGCAGACCGAGTGCCACCTGTGGTGGGTTTCTTTCTCTCAAAGAACCGTAGGCACCAGCCAGGTGAGCACACGAAGTCCCGACTGGAGAACTCGCCCTCAGCTTGTGGGCAGCGCTGGTGTCGCCGGGAACGTTCTCCGGTGCAGCCCGTCTCGTCCGCAGTCCAGGGGTCTCTGGCCGGACCTGCAGGACGGGCGTTCGCAATGGGCTTGTGAGGTTCGGGATGTGCCAGCTTGTGTTTGCGTTTATGGTCCTTGGTTAATTGGCTCCAAAAATCATGGGTGTCTCTGCGTCCTAAGGTGGGGAGTGGGATTGGTGCAGGCAGAAGATGGGGACTGGGGCCTGCCGCCTCGGCGAGCGTCTGCTGGGGTCAGAACACTACTATCCCTTCGTGAGCTCGGTGCTGCGCACTTCTGGGAGTCAGGAGTTCTGCGCTCCTGTGAGGGGCACGTGGCCAGGCCGTGGTCTCCCCACAGGTGGGTTCTGTGCTGGGTGGCTTGGGTGACGTTCCTCCCTGGCCGCTGCCCTCGGCATCTCCAGGGCCAGGGCCGTGGTGCGTGGGCAGCGGCCGCAGCCGAGTGCCTGAGAGCACGGTTGCGTTGGCGACCGTGGGGCCAGTCCTCCCAGTGCTGGGCAAGGCGTGTGTGAGTGATGAAGCCCAGATCCATCCCGAGCTCCCGAGGACAGGGTCCGCTCGGCCGGCACGCAGGAGCTGACAGACGGTGTGCGGGTCGGTTCATGGAAAGCCCGTAAAGCACGTGTGTCTCAGGCCAACTCCATTTCGCAGTGTCTGTGGGCTGACGCGGGTGGGAGCGGGGTGAGCGCAGTGCGCGGAGACACTTGTGTCTAACAAGGGGGGCTCTACATGTTTGCACCCGACAGGGAAGGGGCCTTCAGACCCCTTGCTTTGGGGTGCAAGGACGTGTCTACGAGGTGCTTGGTGACGGTCATGAAGAGAGAAACGGTGTTTCCCTCTCCCCCCAGGGCGCGGTGTCTGGGGGGACGAGGAGTTGGGGTTCTGTCACTGGAGTTGTAGCAGGGCCTTTGTCTTACGTGGCCACGAAGCGGCTGCTAATCAGAAACTTAGAGGGTCAAAGAAATCCTTCAGTCAATATTGTTTGTTTTCTTATTTCGTTCCTTGTATCCATCCAATGCGCAATTTTTTTCCTCTTTTTCAAACGATTAACGAAAACACGACTTTCAGAGCGATGCGTGTGTCTGCCGGGGTTGCGCGTGCGGCAGGCCGGGCCGGGCACGCGCCTGGGCTGGGAGCCGGAGCACTTCACGGGAGGCCGGGGGCAGGTCCGCCCCCCCCTTGTGAACGCGGATTTGCGCCAAGGCCAGGCGGAGAGGCGACGCCTTCGGTGCACAGGTTCAAGGATTAAAGCCGCCTGAGGACGGAGCTCCCGGCTGGACGTGACGCCTTTTCCTCCAGGGTGCCCCGCGTGATTCTGACGGCGGCATTGGTCGGGCTGCGTGCTCGTGGAGAAGACGTGCTGGCTGCGCCCTCAGAAACCACGAGTGTGCCGGAGGCGGGGCCGTCCCTTCCAGCAGCAGAGACAGCTCTGCTCGCGTCCGGCGTTGCTTTTTTTTCTCTTGGCGGTTGGGGTTCGGGGCCAGTGTCGCCGTTGACACAGTGAGATAATTCCTTTCTTCTCCTTCTGCAGAGCTGGCGGCCAGACGGACGGACGGTGACCGTGGACAGCGCGATCCCTTTGCCCTGCGGGGGCGTCGGCTGGCTGGGACGCCAGCTCACCGCTCTCTCCATGCTGTGCTTTCAGGTGTGGCGGACGAAGACGCCCTGGCGCAGGAGTGCATGCGGAGAGGCCAGAGCGCCCTGCCGGCCCGGCCCGCCAGCGCCCGCTCGCCGAAGCCACCGCGGCCGGCCTCGGTGCTCAGACACGTGCCCCACCAGGCCTGCGAGGAGGAGGGTGAACAGGAGCGCCCCAGGGTCCCCGGGCCCTGGGAGCCCACCACGTCCTCGGCAGGTGTGCAGGGGGAGGCCGGTGCGAAGCCCGTCCAACGCGCTGCTTCCCCCGGGGCCAGAGGACAGAGAGGACAGAAGCTGCCCCTGTGCTGCTGTGTGCTGACCTGACCCGGGCGGGGCGCCGTCCCCTCCACCTGCCCCGCCGGAGCTCCGGAAGGCTGGCCCCGCCGCGGGGCACGTCTTCCCCACGATTAAAGCCGGTCCCCGTCTCCCGGGATGTGTGCAGCCGGTGTCTGGGCGCAGGTGGGGGGGCTCCCAGAGCTGCAGGTGCTGCTTTTGCCTTCCACGCACCTTTTGTGCCTTTGCGCTAGCGCTTGCGATCCTGACCCAGCCCGTGCCGCGCCCCCTCACCTTCCCTGCCTCCTGTGCCGGTGCAAAGCAACAGACTCCTGCGGGCAGGTCCTGTGTCAGGCTCCCTGGGTGCTGTTGGCCGTCGCAGGTCAGGGGAGCCAGCGCCGTCTGAGAGGCCGTCCCCCGCGGTCGGGATTGTCTCCGAGGGGCGCTGTGCCTCAGGCTGACCCGACTGTGGCCTGGAGCCCGTGGAGGTGCGCCTGGGCTCGCTGGAGAGCTGGGAGCGTCTGTGCTCAGGGCTGGAAGCAGCCAGGTCGGCCGCCGCAGGTTGTGTTGTGGAGGGAACGCTGGTGTTTGAGGATGTGCCAGGTGACTCAGGTGTGTGTCGTGGGGCTCACGCTGTGGGCTTGGGCAGAAGCGCCGTCTAGGCAGGAATGAGAGATGGGGTCGGCGCTTCTCCTTTCTTAGAACCTTCTGTTGGAAAGTCAATCCCTTGAAGTCCCCTCTGGTCCTTCTCGGATGAAGCGGGGTTGTCTGTCGTGGTTTTAGGGGACGGAAGGAAACGTGTCACCGACGTAGAGCCTAGAGTCACTTCGCCCTGCAGGCAGGGGCGTTGCCTGCCCTGGGGGTGGACACAGCTGCTCCCCTCCCCCGAGTCCTTGCTGTGGAGCCGCGGGCAGGGCCGGTGTGGGCCGAGCGGGCTCAGGAAGCGCTCGCCGCGTTGGACGGACGGTGGGAGGATCCCAGGGTCTACTGTCGCCTGTTGGTCCTGCCGGGTCTGAGCGTGGGTTGAGCAGTGTCGGGTCGAGGGTCTTTGCAAGGTGCAGGGTAGAGCAGGGGCGTAGGTTTAGTTTCCCTGGACAGACACCATTTAAGCAGTTTGGGCTGGAAGGACCCGGCACACCTGGCCTGCTAGGTGCCTCGCCATTTCCCGGCTCCCAGGGACGAGGTGAGCAGGTGCAGGGCTGCCTGGAGGAGCTGAGGGAGGTGTCACGCAGACAGGGCCCCAGGGTCGCCTGCGTCCTTGCTGCAAAGCCGCTGGTCTCCTCGTGGGGGGGCAGCGTTGCCGTGGGTTCCCCAAGACCGCGGCCGTCAAGCGAAAGTCAAACTTGCTGCTGCGGAAGATTTTTGGCGAAGTAGGATCTAGTGGGAAAGTCAGGAGGTGATTCTTCCCACCACATCTCATCGTCAGTTTTTATCATCAGGTTCCCAACAAGATACCTTTTTTGAGTGGGGAAAAGCAGTTAACTTAGGAATCCCGACACCAAGTGGCAGGAGCTAGATGAGCTTTGGTCCGTCCCGGGGGCACGGGGCGGAGCAGGCCAGGAGCCAGGTTCGTCTTCTCCGGGTTGTTTCCTTTTGCTCAATCAAGTTATGAGGCCTTGAAGAGTGTCAGAGCGAGATCATCGAAGAATTAAAGATGATTGTCATACAAATATATAATGAGTACACGTGAAAGACTTCTACTTTTTATTTTTTTGAGACAGGGTCTTGCTCTGTCACCCGGGCTAGAGTGAGTGCCGTGACGCAGTCACAGCTTGCAGCAGCCTCACCCTCCTGGGCTCCAGCGATCCTCCCGCCTCAGCCTCCCGAGTAGCTGGGACTGCAGGCGCCACCACCACGCCCGGCTGATTTTTGTATTTTTGTAGAGACAGGGTCTCTTGCTCAGCCTGGTCTCGAACTCCTGGCCTCAACAGTCCTCCCACCTCGGCCTCCCAGAGTGCTGGGATCACAGGTGTGAGCCTCCGCACCCGGCCCCAAAGACTTTTATTTAACTTCTTACTGAGAGATACCAAATCCGATTCAGAGGAGGATTCGAGAAACTGCTAGAGTGGAAAAAAGAACGGACTGGTTTGCGTCTCTGCAAAAACCGCCCACAGCGTACTCGTCCAGCGTGGCAGAGTCTGGGTCTAACCGGCGGCAGGGGCACGTCGCGGAGGTGTGTCCCCTGCGGTCTCCTCCGCGGAGGTTTCTGGACTGAGGACTGAAAGCCTCGCTGCCCGAGAAGCCCCTCATCACGGGAAACTGAGACGGCTCCTGGCCAGGCTTGTGGGCCCTGCTGTCATCTTTTTGCCAGATTTGCAAGTCTTGGGCAATTTTTGTTAAAAAGAAGCACATGGTAAGGAACTCGATCACCCGAGAAGTGTCGGGCCCTGCCTCATGCTTGGCTGGCTGACCGGCTCCTGCCGGAGCTTGCAGACGCTGCCTCCGCTCACCGGGCGACGGCGGGGTGTGCAGACCACAGTCCCGGGCGATTCTAGGAAGTGACTTTTCCAGGCTGGAATGAGCTGTCACTCAAGGTGCAGCCCTCAAAATACTACGCTGACTGCTGACGTGAGGATGTCCCGCGTTTATGGCGTGTCTCATGCAGTTCGCTGTCAGGGCGTGGCCCAGGGAACCGGGTGCTGTGGGAAGCCCAGGCATTCGGGGAGGGCTGACTGCGTTTTCAGCCCCCGTGGCTGGCCGTTCAGGGGGCTCACGGTGCTGTGCAGGTGACTGGGGGAATGTGCTTGACTGGTCGGCATTTGCCGTGCGGCTGCACGTGCCGTTACTTTAAATTACTGACCTCCCGCAGACCGGCCCTGTCCCGCGGTAGGCGCAGAGGCGCTTGTGCGTTTCGGGCTGGATGTCACCTGGATCCGGTAACTCAGGCAGTGAGACTTGGGGAAGGATCAGTGTTACTTCGCATCTATGAACTCCGCGTGTACTGTAAATCCATCAAGAACGCTAACCATTAGAAAGGAAAATTAAAATTATTGAACATGAAAAAACAACTTCATGAATGAGAGAGTAAAATTGGTCCTTTAACTTTTTTTTTTTTTGGTTTTAAGAAAGCAACTTACCCAGAGATGCTGTAGAATGTTTCCCTTTGGTTCCATCTTTAATTCTAATCTTTAAAGATTAGAATTTAACCCTGTTACTAGCTTTTGATAGCTTGAAGTTTCTTTTTAGTGAAACTAACCTATGTATTTATACATGTTAGGAGGAACACGTAGTAGTTTGTAAGAGTATTTTTCTATCAGGACGTGTTGTGTAAGTAGTCAGCTTATTATCCCTAGCCCAGAAAGGATGGGTAGTAGTTGTGTTGCTAGTTTAAATGAGTACCTATTATTTCCTTTGTTCTGGGTCAGGGGGCTTTGTAAAGTGGCTTTGTAGCCTTGATGCCCCTGAGGGAATGTGCAAGACAGGTGGGCAGGGGTTACCGGGTCCTCTGAGGGGCACAGCCTCCGGGAGCCAGTGAGGCGGGGACAGGGCCTGAGCCCTCCTGCCCAGAGCATGTCCATGAGGACCGTGGCACCATCTCCAGGCCCCTGTGGCTCCTGGTCCTGTCCGCTGACCCAGAGACTTTAGCTGATTTTCGCTTCATTCCCCTCCGTTTGAGACCTTTGGCACAAGCGCGGCGTGTGCAGGCGTGTTCCAGTAGAGGGGCAGAGGTTTTCTGTTAAACGGGGAGGGTTTCCCGGTGGGTTGTCTGTAGGGACAGATGTGCAGAACTTCTTGTCAGTTCAGCTCCACAGCTTGCCTCAGTGGCGACGGACAGACGTGGCCTCCTCGGGGACCCCGCAGGGCGTGGGTTCCGCTCAGGCTTCCCGGAGCAGGTTGCTCTGCCCCCCGCAGCCCACGGTGCAGCGGGCCACGGGCGCTGCGTGCTCAGGGGGTGTTCGGTGGCTGTGGGCACATGTGCACCAGCTCGGAGGCCTGGACTTCTGTGATTTGTGCTGAAGTCCCTTCAGTTTGTCTCGAGATATTTTTCTGGTGGTGCACGTGTATGCTCCTGGCTGCGCGGGAGGCCGAAGCAGGAGGATTGCTGAGCCCAGGAGTTGGAGCCTGCAGTGGGCTAGGACTGTGCCACTGCACTCCAGCCTGGGTGACAGAGAGAACCCCTGTTTCAGTGGGGAAAAAAATGCCTTTTAGCAGAAATGGCTGGGAGCTGGACGTGCCAGCCAGGTAACACGATGTCTGACCAGGGTCCGTCGTGGTCACGAGGACAGCGTAGGAGGTGCAGCGAGAGGAACCTGGAGGTCGCTGGCCTCAGTGGGAAATTGCCCAAGGTGAGGATCAGCCCGTTAGTGCTAGGTTAGGCAGACATTCTTTTCTTTTGGGTTGGTTTGTTTAGAGACGGGTCTTGCCGTGTTGCCCAGGCTAGTGTGCAGTGGCTATTCACAGACACTTCATAGCACTACAGCCTTGAACTCCTGGGCTCAAGAGATCCTTCTGCCTCGGCCTCCTGTGTAGTTGGGAGTACAGTTTTTGGTTTATTTTACATATAAATGTAATTGAATCTGCTAGGAGGAAAAGAGGCCATCCTCACCTCCCTGCATGAGAAACGTCAACTTTAAAACTTTGTTTTAACTAAAATGAGTCAGAAAACGAAAGCCACTGTTGGAGACATCGGCTCTTAATGACTGGGGTTCCAGAAGACCGCACACGAGGGCCTTCCAGTTCAGCTGCTGTCAGTCCTGTGGGGCATCGGGTCCTGCACGTGCGCTGTTTGTAACCGCTTCGCACGAGGGCTCTTTAACCCGGCGCGCGCTTGTGTAGGGGGGGGCGTCGGGTCTGGCCTGTGCGCTATTTCTGACTCCCGCCCGCCTGCAAACCCTGACCTTCCCTGCTGGGCTCCCAGCTGAACCTCGGGACTAACTTCCGAAGCACCTGTCTGGAGGCTCACGTGGCAGTGAGGCCGCGCACCCCTCTGTGCCACCTGCTGTCGTGAACCACGTGGGGAGGGTCAGCCAGTCCCGAGAGAGCAGCTCACACCCGGCAGGCTCTGGCCTGGGAGGCAGTTTCAGGTCAGAATGGGCCTGTTGGATCCTTTGAAGGTACCATCTCTTGACCTCCTTCCCCTGCCCCGTGGCCTCCTACGATCGCTGCCTTTCCCAGGGGCGGCCTTCTTGGCCCCGGGTCTCCAGAGCCGACTCCCGAGCTGTGGCTTTGGGAGCAGGTCCGTGGCGACCCTGGGTGTGGCACCCGCGTCTGCTCAGCCCGGCCCTGTCTGTCTTTCTTTCTTCCAGTAACTTCGAGGCAGCTCTCCTAAACTCGTGGCACTGATGCCTAGCCCCTTACGGGTGTGGCGTCCTCTCGTGCTGCTCTAGTGGGGCGGTCACGACACGCTCAGTTTGCACGGAAGCCTCGGCAAGCGCAGCCTCTGCATGCGCAGGCTGCGAGCAGACGCGGTGCGTTGGTGCGCGTGGACTGGGTCTGCAGGCCTGTTTCTGTCTGCACACACCCCCTCCTGTGGTCGCGGTCAGAGCCGTGTTCAGTCATGTGTGCCCCAGGTCCCGACAGGCGGGTCTGAAAGTCCGTGCGTTTGGAAGTCCGCTGCTGTGGGTGACCGGAGCGAACCACACTCGGTGGACTCCGCCTCGGAACACGCTCGTCGGCCTGGGCTGTGGGTCCCGGTTGGGTGACGGGTTGGCTACAGGCGCCTTCGGATCAAAACAAGGCGCTGGGTCGGCCTGGTGGCTGCAGGTCTCCAAGGCCAGTCCCGCGTGCGGGCTCCGTCAGCAGACTGCCCCGCGCTCTGACCCGTCCCCCTTGGGACGGCGGCTCCATAGCGTCAGACGGTGAGGATGCTTCGACGTGGCCTTTTCGCTTTGGGGGGCTCGTGTGTGTTAACCCCAGGCCCCCTGGCTCTCTGCTGGTGTGTTCCGGGTTCCGGTTCAGTGAAGCTGCTACGTTGATTTCCTGTTGCCCGAATTCACCGTCAGGCCCGTTTCCTCTACCCACGCTGGCGTAGACCGAGTCTAGGATGGTTTCTGCGGAACTGAGTGAGAGTTCTTTATTTCTGGCCTTTGGAGAAAACGTCCGGAGGGTGAGCGTGTCTTTCTCCTTTGGCTTCAGCTGGCGAAGTCAGTCGTGCAGTCGTGTTGACTTTCAGCCGTAACGCAGGGAAAGAGGAAGGTTTCCATCCTCGGATAAGAGACGGGGACTTTGCTGAGCTGAATACCACAGAGCCAGCCCGCGGCGAGGCTCTCCCTGCAGGACGGCCTGGCTCGCCGGCCAGCGCCGGAGGAAGCCCAGGAAGACACTCGGATCCCCGCCCCAGAGGTGGGAGCGGCGTGGCGTAGTCCAGAGGACTGGCGTGGCTAGGCCAGAGGACTGGCCTGGCGTGGGCCGGAGGACTGGCGTGGCGTAGGCTGGAGGACTGGCGTGGCTAGGTCGGAGGACTGGCGTGGTGTAGGCTGGAGGACTGGCCTGGCGTAGTCCGGAGGACTGGCGTGGCTAGGCCGGAGGACTGGCCTGGCGTAGGCCGGAGGACTGGCGTGGTGTAGTCCGGAGGACTGGCGTGGCTAGGTCGGAGGACTGGCGTGGTGTAGGCTGGAGGACTGGCCTGGCGTAGTCCGGAGGACTGGCCTGGCGTAGGCTGGAGGACCAGCGTGGCTAGGTCGGAGGACTGGCGTGGTGTAGTCCGGAGGACTGGCCTGGCGTAGGCTGGCGTGGCTAGGCCGGAGGACTGGCCTGGCGTGGGCCGGAGGACTGGCGTGGCGTAGGCCGGAGGACTGGCGTGGCTAGGTTGGAGGACTGGCGTGGTGTAGGCTGGAGGACTGGCCTGGCTAGGTCGGAGGACTGGCCTGGCGTAGGCTGGAGGACCAGCGTGGCGTAGGCTGGAGGACTGGCGTGGCGTAGGCTGGGGGACTGGCGGGGGTCGGGACACAGGTGCAGCCTTCCCGCAGAGCTGGCCCCAGCTGTGCGGTTGGCGGCTGGGAGCTGCCGGGCCGCGGGCGCTCAGGTGTCAGTGCGGCTCTCCTGCACTTTAAAAAGGCAACTCATGTTTTCATTGAGATTTAGATGTGGCAAGAAAGGCGACTTTGTTGCCCCTTTTTTTTTTAACATGGGGAAATATTTAGAGAACATGTTTGCCTCTCAGCGGGGAGCACTCGCTGCTCTCACAGTGTTTGACGACCGTGTTTCCGTAGGGTTCAAGGAAGGTGGCAAGAGGAAGAAGCAGAAGCAGAAAGAGGAGTCGAAGAAGAAGAAGCCGACCAAGGGCACCCACTAGACGGACTGGCCGGCACGCGACGCTGGCGGGCGTCGGCGCACAGCCTTGCTCGGTGTGCGGCTGTGCACACGCCATAGGTAGCAGCATCTCGATCGGCACTTGTCCCGAGGCCACACTCACTGTAATCAGGATTAATAGCAGGAATACGGACGTGTGATCATGCATCGGTCAGGCAGGGGCGCCGGGAGCCAGGAGCCGGTGAACGGGTGGCGGCGGCGGAAGCTTGGGACGCGGCCTCGAGTTTCTCACTCTGCTTCGCTCGCGCCGAACCCGCCCGCGTCTCCCTGCCGAGCTGCCGCGGGCCCCTCTGGTCTGCTCCCCGGCCCTGTGCGGAGCCAGCCGTAGCTGTCGAGGGTCAACAAGGGCCAGGTGGTCACTGAGCGCGTGTTCGTGACACGGCTTTCTTTCCCACGGCGGGTAGCGTTTGAGCGTAGCTAGGGGCAGCGTGACTGAGCGGTGAGGTCCTCGCACGGTGAGCTGTGGCTGTCACGGTCCTTCCAGCCACCGCATGGTAGGCTGTCGGGAATCGCTTCAGACATAAAATCACTGCTTATATTTATTATTTCAATTTTAATCCTGTCCAGACAATCTGAACTTAACTTTGGATATTGTTTAGTTTTTGCTAAATTTCATCCTTTTTTCTTGGATCCATAATTGTTCTTTTTAGCAGAAATTCTGCTCAGCACCACCCTCTATAGCTTCTGCAGGTTGGGGTCACGCTGGGCTGTTTATACGACACACGGAAATAATCAGATATCGAGTGAGAAAGCTGAACTAAATATTTCAGTTTGCAAACATTGGCTCCTTACAAATAATTACTCTATTCCAGCTAGATTCTGCCCGCTTCCCGTGATTATTTCATTTGCATGACACACGCTTCTTAACCCACCGCTGCCGAGCGCTGGGCGGAACCCGGCGTCGCCTCAGCCTCTTCCCGGCACGCTCCCTCGGTGACCGTTTCCTTCCTTTTTAACACGAGGATCTGTTGTTCACACTGCTTTTTCCTTCGCCCTCTCGGAAGGGAGGGCTTCGTAAAAAGCTTGGATGTGACTTACAGATGCCAGCGATTTCAATCTAGCGCTGTTCAACCTGGGAATTGTCGGCCCGGCCCACGCAGCAGCGCCACAGGCCTGAGCTGGAAACCAGCGCAGTCTGCGGTTCCGAAACACCTCACAGCGGAGTTCGCACCGTGTGTGTCTGGTTTGGTGGGAGGTGGTCAGGTGGCTGGGCAGGGGTGGACTGGTACTTCACGCTTTTTGTGGGAAATGTAACCCTGAATGCATACTGTGTTTTCAGTGCTACCTACGTAAATAAAGTGTTCCTGAGTACAGCTCACTTGCCATCATTGTAACTGTCAGGGAGCCGCACTGTTGTTACTAATTAAAAATAAAAGCAATTCTTCAACATTTCAATTGTGAAAGGTAAAGTGATATTTTGGGGCAAACGGCTAGATTCTGAGGTGCATTCCCGTAAGACGAAAATACTGCTTTAAAGCGGAAACCCCCGGTGAGCACACGCTGCACAGACCCGCAGCCCCCGGAGAAAGTTCCTCGCGACTCTCCTGCTCTGCGAGCGGTGGTGCCGCGCTCCGTGGGGGTGTCCTGGCCGCGCTCCGTGGGGGTGTCCTGGCGCTCTGGCCCTTCTGGTCACACAGGAAGGTGCTGCCATGGAACCCTCGGGACCCACCACGGTCTGTGCTCTTAACAGCCTTTGTGATTTGGGGATTTTTAAAAGGAGAGGAATCGTTCATCTCAGCTGCTCAAATCCCAGAGTTTGCTGCTGAGATCGTGGCTGAGGGAAGGGGTGGTTCAACGGTGTTCAGCGGTCGCTTCCCAGCACCCTGGGCTGCGGCCCTCACCCTCCAGGCCAACACGAGAGCGCGGCCCGGCCGCCACCCGCCAAGCAGGTGCACAGTGGCTGGGAACATCGCCAGAGCCGCGAGCATCTTCCAGCCACGCCCAGCCACGCGTGTGACACACCCTGGTGGAAGCCGGGTCTTCACTCGACCCTGCGGTGTGCGTCAGCTCACGTCCAAAGGCAGCCGGCACCGCTACGGGGAAGGCCCAGCATGGGGAGCGCATGCCGCGCACCAGGTCAGCCGAGCAAGGTGGGTGCCGGCCTCGCGGGCGAGGAGGGTGGCGCAGAGCAGCCGAGGCCTGCTGCCCCCCGATCCTGGGCGGGGCCCCGTGAGCGCCGGCGTCGAGGTGGGGGTTCCTCGGACCGGCTGTGTGCGGACGCCCCGTTTCTGCTGTGGGAGGATCTGGGGGGCCTGGGTGAGGGTCCTGGAGGTGTGGGGGGCACGGCCCGGGCCCACCCCCACCCTTTCTCCTTCGTCAGGGTCAGGAGGACCAAAACCCGCTCTCCGCGGACGGCCGCCGTGAGATGCTCGAGTACAGGAGACGGGCAGCCTCTCCCCACAAGGCCCCGCGCGCCCCCTGGTCTCTGCGCTGGAGGCTTCTCCGAGTCCGTGGAGTCTGGATTTTGGCAGGAACCGAGGCAGAGAGTCGGGGCGGGGGGTTCGCACCCTACTTTCCACCCAGGGCTCTTCAAGTTGAGGGGTTCAAGCCTGAGGGATGGGGAGTTAGACACAGGTGTTCTAATTAAACCAAACGGGCGTTGTAAGTTTGCTTCTCAAAGGGGCAGTTGTGGGTTGTCAGCCTGTTCTCCTGACCGTCCGTTAGACAGGCTGTCTTCCTGTTAGGTCGATAATAAGAGCACCTTTTGCCGCACGTAACACAAACTTCGCCATTTTTGCAGTTCAGATTCACGTTGCTGTGCAGCCGACGCCACCATCCATCTCCGGAACCTTCCATTTCCCTAAAATGCAGCTCTGCCCCATCAGACACTACTCCTGTCCCGCCCTGGCAGCCCGTCTCACTCGCGTCCTGTGGACCTGAGGACTGACTCCAGGGCCCTCCTGTGAGTGGGACCAGGTGTGTGTCACTCGGCTCCACGTCCCCGAGACCCGTCCCCTCGGGAGCCCGTGTCAGCATCGCCCTCCAGCTCTCGCTCCCTGTGCGGGACCACGCATTGTCCGTTCCTCCCTCCGCGGGCATCTGGGCGGCTTCTGTGCGACCCGCTTTGGCCGACGTCGTGACGGGACCAGCGACCATGTCCTCTTTGGGAAGCGTCCCTGTCTCTCGCGTGGAGGTGTGTGCTGTGCGTGTCGGGCCCGGGCTGGGCATGAGAGCAGGACACGCCAGGGGGTCCCTTGCAGCCGTGGAGTGTGCTGGGTGCCGAGCAAGCTGTCCTCGCGAGCCTGGCTCGCTGCCCCGCCAAGCGCGACTGAAGCTGAGGCCCAGAACCTTCTCTGGACCTTCTCTCTTCTCCTGCCTGGGGCTGCCCACCCTCGGCGCCCGGCCCTGCCGGCCGGCGGGAAGAAAGGCCCCTCCGGTGCCCGCCATCTGCCTGGACCCTCGGGCGGACTTCTGCCCCACCTGATTTCTTGCCCTGTGGTTTCTCCCTCCTGACCTCCGGAGCTGCAGGGGCGGTCAGGGCAGGCGGCAGGGTCTCCTGTGACCCCAAGGGTGGCTTTGCTTTGACCTGCAACATCGCGTGGACCCTGCCCCACCCCCGTCCTCCTCCCAGGCCACAGTAGTTGGGATCAGCTTCCTTCCTGTCGCCTCCAACCCTTGGTCACCCCAGATCCTGCGTGTTCTCGCCTGCGTCCCAGGTACCTGGTGAACCCGTTTCCCCTGCTGCCCAACCCTCTTGTCCCATGAATGTTGCTGTCTCAGTTGGACACTGGTGGGGGTGGGAGTGACCAGGGCCCCCTCCAGGGGCGCCAGCTTGTGAAGGAGACTCCCGCGGTGGAACGTGGCAGGGACGGGCTGATGATGGGGCGCCCGGGCCAGTGCCGCGGCCTCGCGCGTCAAAGCTCCCTGACGCTCGTGGCGGTCGCTGCCTGTGGGCAAAGGCTCCGCCAGGCTGGCTCAGAGCCCGGCTCCGGGGAGACGGCGTCCAGGCCGAGGTGGTCCTGGGTCCCGGTTAGGCCGGGTGCAAAGCGGTGGTCTGGCCGTGGCCTCTTCCCTGGCGGAACTCGAGGTGATCCCACCAGAGTGTGGGCCCAGGCCGGCGTGGGACGGCGTTTCCTTCCTGGTGTGCCGGAGCAGCGGGCGTGCTGGTGAAGCTGCGGCGCCTCGACGATGCGCGTGAGGCTGACCGACGGAGCGGCGGCTGTTCCCAGGGCGTCCCGCCGGCTCCTCCTGTCTGATGGTTTCAAGGGCTGCCCTGCCTGGGGCTGCGTTCTCGAGGAGGAGCAGACAGGGCCGCCCTGGCCGGGCTGCAGGCCGGGGCCCTTTGCAGAGGAGCGAGGAGACTGGCGCGGCTGCATGAGTCTGCTCGGCCTCCACGGCAAACGCACGGCCAGGGCGGCCCGCGGACCACGCGCTTGCCCGCTCCCCGCTCTGCGGGCTGGCGCCCCAGGGCAGGTGCTGTCGGGCCTGGCTTCTCCCTGGGGCTCCCCTCGGCCTGCGGACGGCGCCTTCCCTGCGTCCTCATGGCGTCCCCGTGTCCGTGTCCTCGTCTCCTCCTAAGGACGCTAGTCAGGTTGGATCGAGGCCCACCAAAGGGACTTGTTTTAACTGAATTACCTCTTGAAAGACCTCGTCTCCAAACACGCTTGTGTTCTGGGGTCCCGGGGCTGGGACTGGGACAGGGGAACTGCGGGGGGCGGTTCAGGCGCAGCGGGCAGCGCCCTGGGGTACCCGGCTCCCTCTCCCGCCGTGGCCGCGAGCCGGGCTTACCCACTAGGCCACCTGCCCACCTGCGGCCGCCGCCTCACCTCCTGTGCCAGGTGGGGGTGGGCGAGGGGAGCAGCTGTGACCCCCCCGGGCCCCGGGGGCGGCGGCTTGGGCGGGGCCGGGGAAGGCGGGGTTGCGCACGTCAAGCTGAATTCCTGACCCTTTGTCTCTGGGGTTTTATAGCTTTTCGCGTGATCAACATTCGTTCTCGGTAGACAAACAGAATTCAGTCTTTATGGCATAAAAATTACTGTTTTTCTGACCGACCAGCCATTACGCGGTGACACAGGGAGGCGCCGGGTGACAGGGACGATGAATCTTCCCGTTACTGGGAGAGCGAGTCTGATTTACGGGCAGCGGCCCGCTGGTGGGCTCAATCCCTGGTGTTTTCCCTGGCTCGGGCCACAGCCTGCGAGGCCGGGAGGGCGAGGGGACCTGGGGCCGGGGTGCCTTGTGTCCACTTGGCAGCCCCAGACGCTGGCCCTGCCGGGGTGGGGGCCAACGAATCCAGGTGGCCCCCTGCCGGGAGGCTTTGGGGCATCAGTGTTCTCGGGGACCCCGTGGGCCTGGCTTGTCCTCCCTTTGCAGACGAGGACGCGGCCTGGGACATCAGCAGTTTCCCCAGGTCGGCAGACACGAGTCGTTTGCACCCGTGTCCTGGGTTCCGCTCCTGCCGCCTGGTTGGTGACAGCCTCCCTCAGCCGTGGGTGACGGGTCTTTTGCAAAATCCTGGTGAACGCACTTCCTTAAATCGGGTGGGGTGGTGTGGCCGGCGGATCTGCCCCAGAACTCAGCCTGTGGCTTCGCCAGGCTGCGGTCACAGCTGTGTCCTCACTTAGCCAGCACCCGCCGCACGCAGGTGCCCCTCTGCGCTGGCCCCCGTGGAAAGCTGCCCGGCCCCGCCTTTGCCAGCGAGGAAGCCCCTCGGGTCTGGTACGTGACTGCCCCGAGCGCTGAGCGCAGGAAGTGAGCGCCCACCTCTGTTCCAGGCCGAGGAGAGCGGGGGCTGCCCCGTCGCGTGGGGCGCACTCTTTGCCACACGGGGTTTGGGGGCCCATGAATGACGCAGCTGCCGTGTGCAGTTGGGTTCCCCGTCAGGCGTTTGGGGAGATTGCTCGAGTTTTTCAGGGGTTCGAAGGCTGCCTGTGTTGGGAGGTCGCGAGGCAGCCAGGAACAGGGCACCCCGTGATTTACCGGCTCAGCCTGGGCGCCGCTAACGATGCTACCAGGACGGCAGGTGCAGCGGGGGAAGCTCGGGGGGTCTGGCAGGCGTTTATCTTCTCAACTTGGTCGTACGGAAACTCTCAAACAGACAGAAAAGTAGCTGGAGTCAACGGTTGTTCATGTGTGTGATTTGCAGAACCGTTTTAGAGCAAATGAAACATTGCATTTGTAAACACGTCGTCTGCGTCCCAAAATCCAAGGTTGTTCTTCCCCATAGCCTGGGTAGCATCACCACACCCCGTGACCGGTCACCCCCCACGCCACCGCGACCTCACTCCCTTCTCAACAGTGGTTTTATGATGTTTTTAAACCAGATTTAGTCAGGACCACACCTTGCGTTTGGTTGTCGTGTCTGTTAAATCTGCACATTTTTACCTTGTGTTATGAAAAACCCTA